TATGTTTAATGAAACAATTATTCGCGATATGTAAAATTGTTCAATTAAAATTTGCTAATTATGTTCGCAATTTTAAACTCGTGTTTTGCCGGTGAAGCTTTCTAATATCACACACAGTTAACACACTTTACTCTATATCACTGATGTAAATTTGTTGTCAAATAGAGATATATGTGATTTTCCTAGCTGTCTAAATCATGGACTATCCCACGCAGTAAATTATTGTTCTTCTAAAAATCATATTATACACCCTCTTAAATAATTAATTTCAATAACGTATTACATGCTGTATAATATATATATTTATACATGTACAAATGAATATATATAAATAGACACATTCATGTATTTATTTGGATGTTATAACTTGAAAATAACACTTTTCATGTAATTTATTAACTAATGCTTTAAATGTTTCGAAATAAAATGCTTTATATAACAGTGTCTCTTCACATATCCTTTAACTCATTATTATTATTAAAGATTATACTAAAGATCATACTAAAAATAACGTAATTTAAATACGCTAGTATTATATCTAAGGAGAAAATTGTTCGTAGTGTATTAAAGTGGCAAAAGTTCAATTAGAAATTACTTATGTTCACATTAAACTCGTGTTTTATTAGCTGAGCCTTTTGATACCTTATATATTATTATCTACTAGCGTTCTATAGCATTGCATATATACATGCCAAATCTGTAGGTTTACTTTCGGCAAAATTTATAACAGACGCTTTGCATAATCTGCTCTCGAAAGACGCGTACGTGGCTCTGCCTATGAGATTCATATTAATATTGTATCTAATTATTATTCATGTTCTAATTTTATTTAATGTTTTATGAACCACTTTACAAAAGAAATGTCAACCTGTCAGACATAATTCTAATAATACGAATATTTAGATTTGATTTTATCACTTTATCAGAAATGTAAATGTCAATAATGGCAATCGATATATGTCAGATTTTATTTGAATAATGACATTTAATCGCTCATTCTATATTTGTATAAACTTTTATATACTTTCATCAAATAGAACTCCTTACACTTTCAATTATTTTTTTAATTTATGGTAAGAGTAATTAGATGCATTAATCAGTATATATTTTGTATACAGCGTGTAGTGCAATACATAATAATCAACAAAAAAAATATCGCCGTACTTTTAAGTACGGACTATACCATAAAATTAACTAGAAGATGGAAGAATATACATACATATTGACTATGTCGTGTAATGAACTGAGAAATTATTATGTTATCTGATTAATTATATCTACATTTATTGATTAACCCGCTACTTATTAAATAAACTTTCAAAATAACATTCCTTTAAAAAAGAATTCGATTATTATAACGACAATCAGTATAGATATATAAACTACATTTTTACACGTATGTATGTGCATACTTCACGATCAATTAAGTTTAGTAACGTATCTGGTAGTTATAATACAATCATAACTTCTTAAATCGCATGCTCGTTTATACTCGAAGAGATTATTTTATCTCCATTTAAAAAAATCTTGAAATCTTGATTGTCAAAGAAATACAGCAGATATATTTTTCATAATTTTTTCTTAAATTGACAATATGCAATATATCATGACAACTCGCTTAGTATAATTTGCACGGTTTTTTAAAACCGAACTTATAAATTGGTAATAATAATTATAATAAAACCGGATTTAACTAGCATTTATACGACGTATAATCTTACGTCAGTTAGTTATAATTATAGAGTGGATGTTATTAAACCCGATTTATAATGTGTAAACGTAGCCTACGTTGGATAGACATAGATATTTGCCGACTGAATTAACCGCCGATTAAGTTAATCGGAATTTAGTCGGATGAACTTTAGGTATAATAATAAGTACATTACCTATAAGATCGGATCGTGCAAACATCGCCCTGATGAGGCTGCGATTCACTTGACGCTGTAAATGTTTTGAAGCGGTTCTTCTTCTCCTTCTTTCATTGAAAGAAAGAAGAAGAGGAATGCTTCTCCGTAGCTTACCGTATAGCCATTAGCCAAGTATGCGCGTTTGTCCAAACACGGCGAATCCGTTGGAAATCGGCCTTTCGCGGCGACGCGAGAGGACGTATGACGTATCGCCGTCGATATCGCGGAGTCGGAGTAGGGAAAACGCCGTACGTCCTTCGTCCGAGCTGGTACGGCGCATCACCCGTGATCACACCCGCGGCCATTTGTCGAAGAGAAAAAAAATCTAACCTAACAAGCGAAAGATGTGCGTGTGTCATCGGGGGTGTTGCTCTGGCCCGCGTGCGACAACAACGAATTGTGCGATCGTCATTCCCGACGACGCGTAAGTCATAAGTGCACGGACGTCGGACGTCACTCGGCCTGTCACTCTCTCTCTCGTGCGCGCGCGCGCGCGTGCGAAATCGGGTTGACGTTGACGGACACGCGCGACCCAGGAAGGCAGGCAGTGGAGGGCACCGCGAGAGCGAGGCGAACGCAACGAGACAGATTTGTTTTTCCCACACGCGTGATTCGATGGGTGCGCGACGATAACGGCGAGACATTCTCGCGGACGGCGTTTCCCCGCCGTGACGTTTTCACGCGGAGACGCGGACGGTCGCCTCGGTTTCACCTTGAGCTCCATTTCCCATGATATCATCGCGAAACCACGCTCGCACACTCGCGTTATGCAATATCCGAGACACGTCGTTTCACGCTCCGCTCCGAATTGAGATCTCTGTTTACTCCCATCAGGTGAAGCGACGCTTTTTCTCTCTTTCTCCGCGCTCTCTCTTCTCCCTTTCTCACACGTACACACCTGCACGCGCGATCCTCGTGGACTCGGAGAGACGGAGCATATGCGCTCAAGAAAGTCCTGTGGCTGAGGTTCATCGTGAAGTAGGTGTACGCCTACGTCCCGCCCCCCTGATTTTTATTAATGCGCAGGATAACCGATTAACAGGATTGTACGCAAGTAACTATGCAGACAACATCACCTCAATTAGATTCTGAAAATAATGCATCGCTCTGTACCATTGTCTTTCCACGTTGAAGGTACATCCAATAATGTCATCGATCAACAGTGTCGATTCTCACGGGACATTACAGTGGGACATGATGGAATTGGCCCGTCATTTGCGGCAGGAAAGGCTGTTTGTCAATTCGGAACAGCAGAACTTGCAGACTCTTAACGAACGGGTAAGTGATATTCATCGTTAAGGATTCCACGTAATATACTGTGGACTGTAATACTTTATATAAAGAAAAAGATAACAGAGATTTGTACGTGTTAATTTAGCAGGAATGTATATTATTATAATGTACAATCGTATATTAATAAGATTCTTTTCTGTTTAGGTCTTATATATCTCGTCGCAGTTAGCGCAGCAAGCATGGATAACCGCTCAACAGAGAGTCAATCTGAATCGCTTGATAGTGGCGAGGCCGGATTGCACTCCAGCGTCGTGTTGCCTGAGAGCAAACGCGTTGGAAAATTCACATTTCATCGATGCGTACAAGTATCTGCGCTACCAGGCGTGCTTGTCCTACGGAGAATTTCTGGGCGCATTGCGAAAGTCACCGAAACTCCTAGCCTCGTGCTTGGTGGAGGGGGACAGAGTGATTCCGGAATCGATGCAGACGATTGTGCAGTGCTTGGCCGCCGGATTGTACGGCAGCTGCATATTGCCGGAAGACAAGAGTTTGGTCCTCCAGCTGCTGAGGCATCTCATGTTACTGCAGATAATTCCGTCTGACAACCCGCGAAGATTGCTCAGGCACGGCACGTGCGCGTTTTCCAAATTTTACTCAATCTTTCACGAAAGCCTGTTCTCCGCGAAGCTCTTCTTAACGGCAGCCTTGCACAGCCCTATAGTGCAGTTACTTATGGAAGATGAAATGTTCCTGGACATCGATCCGGATAAAGCGCCTATTAGATTTCCACCTGCGGAGAGATTGAAGAAATTCGGGAAAGAAGGCACGGCCGAGTATCAAGCCAAGTTACAGCGTTACAGACTCTGGACGGTTAATTCCTTGTATCGTATCACGCAGAGATTTATCGTCAACATTCGCGATACAATACACTGCTTTCCTACGAGTGTTTGCTGGCTTGTGAGACAAATGGCAGGGCTTCTTAGTAAGAACGGAAATGTAGATCCAAAAGAGGTGCACGCCATGTGCACGGATCTTGTATTCACGTACTTCATTTGTCCCGCTATAGTTAATCCCGAGCCTTATGGTATTACCGATGCACCGATAAGTTACGTCGCGAGGTTTAATCTAATGCAAGTTGGACAAATTTTACAAATGCTTTCGCTACAAAAGTATCAAAGTATCGATAACAAAGTTATTGATCTTTACAAGAAGTTCGAGAAGGATTCGGTGTCTTCCATAATAGACTCGATGTTGGATGGGGCGACAGAAGAGCTGGAAGAGGAACCAACGATTATTGACAATAATAAATTTCAAGGCCTGTCACGATCCGCAGCACTGTTTACGGAAAGTGAACTGAACTCTTTAATTACGTTTTTGAACACGATCGCTGGTGATAACAATGGAGAAACGATATCGCATAGCTCATTTGATAGAAAACAATTAGCGGAAATGCTGTCGCAATTACCTTCGGGTTCACTGCATAATAATAAATTAAGTAACGAATACTTGGATACACCCAGCAAACGAGGTGTTGCTGCAGGAAAAGGTATATTAACATGAATAGTGCAATAATGATTATGTGTGTATATGTGTCTCAATTATCAACAGTGTAATGTTAAAATATTTTATAATAGGAAAAGGACGTGGTATAAGGATGACTACATTCTCACCAAATGTAACAAACGAAAGTGCGGAGGAAATTAATGGCACCGCTGCCCCTGAAGAGGAGACTTTGGATAAAAATTCTCAAGACGTGCTAGTCATACCTTTTGGTCCAACAATTGGGGAATCTGTAGGGCTACTCAGTGAACAGAAGGTATAGATATACATGTATTAGTATAATAGATTTATTATATGCTGTGTATTTATTTTTTATGTATTAAATAAGAAGCTATGGTTTTACATATATAGCTTGTACAAAATTAAATATTAGTTTCACAAAAAATGTATTTATTTTATAAATTAGTTTTATACAATAACTTTATAGAAAATTATAATGTTAATAATTGTTTTTTCATGCCTATAGCAGAATCCCAAGGAAGAAGAGTACTAGATTTAAAACTAATAATTAAAACTATCATCAAGTAAAACTTTGTGTTTCATTATTTATAGGTTTTATGCATGGAGCTTCAAAGTGGTATGGAGAATGGACCTGTTACTTTGAATCTCCCTGATGACGCCTCTACTGAACATCCTAGACAAGAGAATAGCAATGTCGAACGCATCGAAACGCAAGAGAAGAGGACTAGATTCTCGCTGTCACATGATGAAGGTATATCAGTTACTGATAATGAGTTCGATACTGATTGCTTTTATAACATTCATGCTTTTTAGCACAGCTAACTAAAATTTACATTTACATATTCATTAAATTTGTCTATATGTTCTGTAATTTTTTATGATTTTATTTTTAGTTAATTTTTTATCTTTTACATATTTTTTTATGTCATTTGAAATTAATATCAAAGATATTAACATTAAAGAATGTATTGCTTGGCTTTCATAACACATCTACATTAAAAATAATTAGTATTGTTCGAAGGATCGATTGGCAATACGTCCGATAACTTGGAAGCTGTATCAGAAGCCGCTTCCAATCACAGTGTCGCTTCTTCTCTAGAATTAGAGACAGAAGATCAAAACGATAATCTCTCAGACATGGTGTCTGCTAATGTATCGGGTAGAGGAACTCCTAATATATCAGGTACATTAATTTTATTAAATTATTTTTTTATACGTAACACATCGATGATAATAATTTATAAATTATTTAATTTCCTATATAATCGCCAGGTCGAGATACACCGTCGTCTCAAATTACTGAAGGAGACGATGGACGAGCTGCGGGTGAAGTAAGGCAACTGGATTTGCCGCCGCCTAATATCCCAACTAAACAAAGTCGATCCGAAATTGATGACAAATTTTGTAAATTTGAGATTAAGAAACTTATTGAAGGTAAATACATATATCTCTAAATAATACACTTAAAACGAACAATATTTATTTACTGACAAAATTGATAACATTTATTTTTGCTAATTGTACATATTGGTACTTTTTAGGAGACGAGACTGTTTCTATGGTATCCGATACTTGGTCTACGGATGTGTTGGCCTCAGATAGCGAAATAGTTGAACAACAGGATCGAATATTGCTTGCTGTTCCTACTGAACAGGTTGCATCTGTGTTGCCTGCCGAACCTACGCTAACCATGTTAGACATTAGTGAAACCGCCTCTGAAGCTTGGAGCACAGATGTATTAGCTAGCGATTCGGAAAGATTAACTGAAGTAGATACCGATGACACTGCTAGTGTTGCCAGGTATATTATTACATACTACATATTACATTCGTAAAATATTATTCTAATTGAAGTAAGATATCTTCATAATTACCATTGACAATATATTTTCATAGGTCTGATGATACGGCCAGATCCGAGATCGAAATAGAAAGCCGTGCTGATTCCGAGGGAAATGAAGAAACTCTTCAATCTGCAACTCCATGTAAGTATACTGCAATTAAATAATGCGATATCAGCAATATCTGATGACTTCTGATCGCAGCTATAATTATTGATATATAATTATTCTTGATTCTAGGTCCGGATGGTTCAAGCATCACTTTTCCGTCAATTTCGGGGATTCGAGAGGATTCTGGCATAGGAACTTCGATAGTTCACCAACCATCACCAACAACATCTCCATTGCCATCGTCGTCAAATGTGACAGGTCGTGGTGGAACCAAGTCCGATTACCGACGTAGTACAATGGAATATGTAGACAAAAACGCTAACAATATAAGCAATATGGACTATGATAAACCATTACGGGACGACAGGCTGGTTCACTTGATAGATAAACTTCAAATTAACAATGGTAAGCAAGTTGAACGTCAAGCACCTGCGCACAATCACATCGCTGCGGCGGCAGTCGCACCGGCGTTGCTATTAGCTAATCATATTTCTGCGCCTGTTTTGTCAGAGAAGTCCCAAAACGGTGACGTGAAAACAGAGGTTTGCATTTCTTCACTTAATCCTTCTGTCAATCTGTTGTCTTTTCCACCGAAGAACGTTATAGAACTAATGTGAATTTTGTGAATCAGGAGTTGGACAGCTGCATGGCGTCAGTCGGGGATACCGTAGGCCGATTAAGCACGGCTAGCTTAACATCCAGCAGCAGTTCCGGATCAGAACCTCGTGTGAAGAGTAACATTTCAACGTCAGATTTACCAACACCAACAGTTAATGGCATTTGTGACGTGGTAGATGGTTCGATTCCCAATTTTTCCAAGCCAAATGCATCAACGGGAGCTATTCCAAAGAGCATAAGCTTCGACATGACCGCCGAGCGTGGCGATAAGGAATTGTTGGACGACGATCAAAAAAACAAACGCGGTTTCTTTGGTAAATTAAAATTGTCATTGAGAAATCGTAGAGGTAAAGCAATCCGCGTGACGGACGACAGATGTTTCGATCGAGAAGCTGGTGGCGACGGCGTCGATGTGTGCAGGCACAGATTACGCAGGATTATGTCGGAAGATGTAACATCATCCGGTAATGTCGCGGGCGGTAAGATATTAATAAATAACTATTAACAATTATCGTATATTATTTTGTTACGACATAAACGGTTTCTGTTTTAATAGTTTTGTAGAATCGAATCGAAGATAAATCGGAAAATAATGTTAAAAAAAAGATGAAAAGTTTTCCTGCAAGTTTTAGACAGTAATAAATTGTTCTTTTGATTAATTTCAGATACTACCGATGATATATTAGCGAAATACAGAAGAAAGCCAAGCGCAGCTAGCGATACAGCCTCGGTCGAAAGCAATCAGTCCCGTACAAAAGAGGTGGAAGACGAAAGACTTTCAATCGATCCGAATAATGTAGAACTCTCTTATGCTTTTGCGGATGCTAAAAGAAAATTACGTATGGTACTTAGCACTGCTGACCTTCAACACATTCCATGGAATACTTCAGAGGTATTTATTGTATTATTTTTCAATCATGGCGTACAAAACAAAGTGTGATTTTTTAATGGATTACTTAATGTTCAAATATTCACATATAAAATTTTATTACAGAGACATTGTTGGTCGCAGAAAGAAAACGAACTGGTTGCGTTTTTGCAACTACAATTGGCAGAAGCTATAAACCTGCAGGATAGGGCATTAATAGCTCATCTTCATGAAACTTTACGTTGCGTGCGTCTATTTAATGACGATGGATGTAGAAAGCTCTTCAAATCACTTCGAGAGGACTATCAAAAGCGATCTCCTTATATCGCATATTTAATCAGATGTCGTCAGGGATTGCTGTCGACATTAGCTCACTTAGATAGGTACTGTTTATATATAAATATCATCTTTGTACGTAATGTATAAGTCAATGTAAGATGTAACCGCTTAATAATAATATTTTTCAGATTATGCGTGCGAGTTAAGTGCGATCGGGATGCTATCAATAATCATCTTGTATCCGTTTGTGTGAGGGTATTTTTGGAAAAAAAGGAGGCTTTTCTCCTGCGTTTCTGCGAAGAGTTTAAAAAGCTTACGCTAGCTGACGAGAAGCAAGATCTCGTGGATAATTTTCTAGGGAAGGTCCACGCGGAAATGGACAACGATCCGATCTGGCAATGTACATGAATATAATTATTTATCTCGCAATTGATCTTAGCGGAGTGATCAGAGACGTCTGAACTTACTTCTTACTTTCAGCGGCGAGCGCCAACCAGTTAGATTTGGCGAGAGTCGTGGTGGAAAGAACCGTCATGGCACGGGTATACCACAATGCGCTCTATCCAAATGGAGATGGAGATGTATATAGGGACCAGCTTCTTCACGATCACATCAAAAAGTTGGCGAAGGTCGTAACTCCAAATCACAAGGACCTACGCATTCCAAAGGTTTATCATTACGAATGCCCCTGGCCATGGGCGCAGGCTGAATTGGCTGTGATATCGGCGTATAAGACTCCTAGGGATAAGTTGCAGTGTGTATTTCGTTGCGCGACTACCATCATGAATCTTCTCTCCATGGCGTCGGAAAGGGGCATACCTGCTGCCGACGATCTGACTCCCGTGCTGGTCTATGTCATAATCAAGGTATGCGATTGAAAAGAGAATATGTGATTTTGGCAAGAAGAGTGACTGTTAACGTATGCTTAATTTCAGACTAATCCGCCGTCGTTGTTGTCGACTGTTCAATATGTAGACAGCTTTTACGGGAATCGATTGGAGGGTGAGGAACAATATTGGTGGACGCAGTTCTGCGCCGCGATCGAGTTTATTAAGACAATGGATTAACAGTTTCTCAGGAGTATCACGATAAATAAGATTAGATTCGATGCTGGTGATAATGTAGAAATGTATCATAATCATAATTTGACGATTTCATAAAGAAGAAGACCAATATCTTGTGTAAAGCTAGCTGAACAGTTTTATGCTTCCAGTATCTTGATTAAAATTCTTAAATAGCCTCTTAAATAGTCTAACTGTTAGTTCTTTCGCACGTTATTATGTAACATTAGCAAAGACTGAATCAGATTATACGTAAAGTATGGCTTTATCTTTATTTGTAACTCTATTGTACAATTTCACAGGACATCGAAAAAAAAAAGAAACGTTTAGATATTCTATAATTTATGTGTAAACAATACAGAACTTATAGAGAATTGATAACCATTTAGCAGGATAAACTGTGTTGGCGTACTCTTTCTACATGCGCACCTTTCCCAAGAGCCGAGACTCGAGCCAGATCCGTGAAATATATCGCCACTTTCGTAGAGCTTTTGTACAGGTTTACTCTAGGATTATGTATCAGGAATATCGCGAGAGAAAGAAAGACTTCGGAGATTTATCCGAATCGATCGACATAAAGAGAGAATATAGTAAAGAAGCTAGCTTTCGAGAATTTGAACGCATAATACTTGTTAATACTATGAGCGAACTAGTTTACGTCACTCTGTCAAGCTTTAATAATCTATCATTACTAATAATATATCGATATCAGTAGTTTAATAATTATTATAAATTTAAAAGCGCTCAATTTAAAAGCAGGGCAATCCTAATAAATGATTGTAAAAAAAAAAGGTAGAACGTAATGGACAATCCGGTTAGAAGCGTAAGGGAAGTTACAATTAAAGCGCTCTCTTTCGAGGGGGGGGGCGAGATTTCCGAGGGGAATCGATTGAGACGCACTTTGAACGAGTATAATATCAACACTTTAATGTAGCAATTTAACCGATACACAAGAGTGATTCGTTCTTATTTATAATAAACAACTAGTAATAATTGTCACTTACAATAAATATGTATAAGACGTAAAGCAAATAAAAATTTTGTAACACCTCACGATCACATATACACAACATTATAATAATGTCTTACCGGTGTTCTCCGTCGTCGGGTACCGGAACGCAAGACGAAAGGGAAAGAAAGAGAGGAAAAAAAAGACACAAACGTGCGCTTTGATTTTCGTAACGTTTTCTTTTTCTTCTTTTTGTACGACGTCAGCATGTATTATCACACACGTTATATCGCATTGCGTGTCTTCGCGGAGAGAAGGAAAGCAAAAAGAGGAGGAAAGAAAAAAAAAGTAATAAATTAATCCTGAGAGTAAATTAATATTAAAATATAAACACCTGCGGGGATTGACACAGTCGCTATACAATACAAAACTTCCGCCGCCGCGCACAACTTTCGCACCGCCGTCGCGTCGCAAGCGAGATCCTTTGTTACATTCGGAATTTTGTCGTTCGCGCATATATTGATGTATCATATATTGATATTTGCTTCAAACCGACACGCCGAGATCGCACCAGCGAACGTGAGAGACGCGGCTTTCGGACGCGGCCGCGCGTGCGAAAGTTTGACAAAAATTATATTGCATATTCGCCGTGCGGGGTGACAAAAGACGCAATAGAACACGTACTTCGTACACTTAGCACCGATAGATACCATATATGAAAGTAACAATAATAAATTTCACATTGCCGTAGAAGTATACAGAGGGAATGGGAAATTAGAGGAGAGTGTTCGAAATACGTTTAGACGCCGGTAGACGATTCGGCTCGAAATCTCAGAGGGAGGAGGAAAAAGATCCTCGGAGAGAAGGGGGTCACAACAATTATTTCCGTGGCTATTAAAACGATATAGGTGGTATTGCAAGACACCGAGAAGATCGTGAGAAAACATACGCGTCGAACATGTGGATTTTTCACGCACGAGGAAGAGATTAATTCTCTATCGCAGAATGCCTACGGTTCCTTTTGCGTGTTACATCTACGAGAAAAAACATCGGGCGCTGATTTGAAATTTTCGTGTTATATTCTAATTACGGATATCTCCACAGTTAACTTTCATGTTTCAACGTTTGAACGCTTCGAATCGCGTAGCTCGCGAAGACTCGATCAATCGAACGCGAGACGGCGGCGAACGCGGGGAGTCGATGAACTTTGAAATTTAAATGTAGGAGACAATTGTAGAATATTGACAGACGAAACAGGCAATTACTTAAGACAAATCGATTTTGTAGCTCGACGAAATGAGAAATAATCTTCAGAAATTCGAATCCAGCTTTCTCGGCATAACGGAAGATACCGAGAAACTTAGCGCTGAAGCTCGATTAAATTCAACGTGTAATATTGCAGAAGAAATCGAAGTCATCATAATTAGCTCTGACAATTTATCACAAATACGAAGCGGATTTTAGATTTATTCTAAACTTCGGGCAGAAAGAGGAGATCGCGTCAGCTGATAGCTTCGCGAGCTACGCGCCTCCAACGAATGTTATCGAAATAGACATTATAGAACATGCTGGCAAGAGGGGTGCAGAGAAAAGTTTTTGTGTAAGGCATAAATCTTTTTTTTTGAAGATATCGGCGATATTAGAAATAGCGCTTATAGAATCTTTGATGCACAAGCGGATTAAACTCGCGATATCGTTGATATCCTAGGGGCGAAAAACTCTAATTTAGCCAAGAACGCTACGATGCCTTAGGCAAGAGAGCGAAATCATAGAGTATAGATAGAACAGGGAATATCGGGGGGATATAAGAACGTGATAGAGTTAAAATTTTGAGAGAAGTTACGTTTTTCTTTCGTTCGGCTTTTATCGTCCACGAAATTGTTGTACGTCGATAATAACATGAGAAACTATTTTAACGATCCGTATACTGTAACTCTTAACTTCGCAGATATATCTTAGCTTAGGAAGAAATATCACGACAAACACACGAGCAGCAAGTGTCATCGATATCGCTTCAACGAACGTAACCGAATCTCCATCTCTCTTTTTTCTCGCGCTTTTATATATATATTTTCTTAAAATTCCGTTCTTCTTTTCTTGTGCATCTTTATTTTTCTCTTCACGCGTGCAACTTTTCGTGAAACGAATAAGCTATCGCGCTAACTTTCTGATAAGCAGTTCTGAGGAAAAGAAAGAGATCGCTATGGCGAGAAGAAACGATCGGAGGATCGTCTTTTCTCGGAGAAGAAAGAGGAGCTCGGCAAATTGGTTTTCGCGCTTCGACGCGCGTTTCTTTCTCCGTACATCGTATCGGGTACGAAAAAACATCAGAATGCGACGGTGCGATCAGACGGAAACGAGAAAAGTTCCCCGACGAAGCAGGGAACTGTATGCGTTCTCGGGAGAAGCGCAATTTCGCAAGGGTAATCTCGAGGCACGCGTTTCGATCAGAGACGGTGCTACGTCGTGAATATTATCACAACCGACTTTTTCTCTTTCTACAAGGTACTCGTATCGACACATGAACGAATAACGACACAGAAACGAAAGTTCCGAACGGCACAATATATATTCCTCGCGGCTGGATTTTTCCCGCTGCTCGAGCGAGAATCATGGAAATTATCCGATCTTAATTTATCATCGCATTATAAATAAAACTTCGGAAAACACGGTATCGTTCTTTTTTCATCGAGTCGCGATAAATTGCTGAACGTAGTTACGCGAGAAGGAACCATCGAAAGAAAAGGAAACATTGAAAGCGGTCTCACATTAGGGGTGCATTCGGGGAGCACGCTATTAGCACAATTATCGTCCAAAACTGTTCGAGGAGACGCTTTGTGGCGCTGTGATATACGATGATGACGTCACTGTAAAGGCAGCGTGACGTCATCACTCGCGCTATTTTCGCTATTATTTTCGAGGTGAGGCACGAAATACTATTGGCGCTTAAGCTGCGTTCGGGCAGCTTGCTATCGCTGTCGCGCTATTGGCTCTTCGAACGAAGTTCATAGCGTTTGCGTTTATAGCGTTAATAGCGTCTCCCCGAATGCACCCTAGGGCTAGCGATAAAGGGTTGGCGATACAAATTCTATATTTTAACGTCATGTCAAGAGTGAGACTCTAATTCGCGTGTAATGCGTGTAAATTCCAGAATTTAACAATCGTTAAACTCCGGGAAACCAATTAACGATTAAACAATACATTACAGTCGGTACGGACGAAGCCGGACTTCGTCCCGCTTCAGCGCGTTGACACAATCGGTTCCCTCTTGCATAATTAATCCGCGATCGCCGCGAGGAACGGATCGTCGGGATTAAATATTTTATCAACATCACGAAAGACGGAGATGCCGAACGCTCGAATGAATACATAATTGAAACGTCCATTTGTACGCAAGAATCAGCCTGAGAACGTGAAAATTAAAGAGACGTTAAAATCAAGAGACGTCCTCGTCTTTCAGGCACCATTTAAACGGTCTCGTTATGAAACGTCTAAAGACGCCTACCCGGCGTTCTATTTTCAACTGATCACGTTGATCGAGGTACAAAAATTCTAGATGATTAATTGACAAATCCATCTATTAACTGTAATAAATAAATATCATTGAGATATATCCTCCTTTCTTTTTCAAGAATCTCTCAAGCGCTTTCAGATGTCTTTAGATGTCTTTTGGATTTTCGCGTCGTTCGAATGTATAGGCGGAAGTATGTATATATAAAATTTGTGAATGTAAAGATTTGGATTGGCGGCAGAGAAACGAGCAAACGTGCGAATTTCATCTCGATTTACTTTTTATAATGCATTATGTGGGCATCATTAAACACTCATTGGTTGAAATTAAAGTAGCGAATTTTATCAAATTATTTGCAAGTCGATTTTGCGATAAAAGAAGACAGATTAGTTGCCTCTTTCGTATCTTGCGCTATCTACACCCACGTGGTTCGTCGATAAATACTTATTCTACATCTCCTCAGACAATGCAACGTCGATCGGAATAGTTTACGCTATAATATCGAAATGACAAGTGAATTTTGCGAATGTAATTCGCGCGATTTATTATTTTACAGCGAGTAGTGAAATCGTGTTATACAAAGCTAGACGTATTAACGATGATTTATAATATATTTAAACTCTAGAATGAGAAAATGTGTTCGCACTTTTGATTTTTTTACTAGCAGTAAACACTGCAATCCCATGCACATATGTAAATATTCTTATCGACGTTACATCGTGTAAGAGTATTGTAAGGACGCAAAAGTATTATAATATTAGTTACGCTTAAGAAGAATAATCACGGCTTTTCACATTTACATTTTTATCAAGAAGTTAACTAAATTAAATCAGAACAATAAAAAACGTGCAACTTGTATGTTTCTCTGATGATGATAATTTTAAATACAAAAAAAAGGAAATTTTAATATATCGGATAAAATTTCAGTAAAACAGACGCGTGCCAAATTGTCACAAGGACGAGATTTTTAAGCCAGCAAAAAAATAACGAAATCGTCATTACTTGAATAAATAATTTTCAGAGGAGGAAATCGTTAATATCCTCCCAGGTAGCAGAGTGACGTCAAATGACGTATTAAGAAGTCTTAATAACGTCTCTAACGTCAATAAAACGTCATTAAGACGTCTTTAGACGCTGCCTGGGTTACTTTGTTTGGACGACCACACGCGTTACTAATCGCGATCGCCTCGATACCGCTCGTGTTCTGACAAATCGGCACAACTCTGGTATTATACATTTTACGCTCGTCGCTACGAGAAAGGGCCATAAAGTGGATTTCGGCCAAATTTGAAAAAACCCATATCACTTTTACGACCTTCCCTTCCGAGTCGTGTGAGATTTAGTCGCGATATTTTTCCGTGTTTATTGCTTTCTTGATTCGTTTTAAGGTACAATTTAAGTGAATGACTGCCGTCAAGTTTTAACGGGACGTACTGGCAGTCCTATGCTATATGCTGTAACATGAATTTCGTTTTCAACGAACGCAACTAGCTCTTACTGTCTGTAAAATTCGAAGCTTCACTGCCGTCTTTGATATCGTGTCGCAGAATAAAATCTGTTCCGCTTATTGTTAGTGTAATCGGAAAAGTTCAAGAATAGCTTTAGAATCTTAACGTGTATAATATATTCATATGCATTAACATTAATGAGGTTATTTATTTGTTTATACAATGACTATACCGAGAGATTAGAGAGATATCATTAAATAGTCTTTATCCTTAAATATTAATGAGCACGAGGTGAATAGATGTACATCTTAGAAAGTACAATAAAGATATATTATAATAGAGACTTGTATTATATCTATGTAATGTATATATATATATATATTTATATTTATATATCTGCATCTGTATAACGCGCTTTTGCAAAACGCAATGCTGCTTTGCGTAACGACCAAACGTAATATAGTTTCAGAATTCTCTCATTACGCCGCCGTACTCTGAACATTAATCATTGCATCGCCAGACCGGGTGCCTCGTTGGGAGCGCGCAGCGCAACAAAAGTGTTTTTTTCCCCGAAGATACCGATCAAAGCACAGGTCGAAAAGTGATCGCTCTCGACAAGAGACAAGTGAAAAGGAAAGGAAGAAAGGAAGGAGACACGATGAGAGAAAGCTTCACGGAAAGAAAGAAAGGCGAATTGAAGGTAAACCCGGTAAAGATCCTCTCGACAAACGGCTGCGCTAGAAGCCGCCGGAAGTCACTCTCATCGTACGCCGGAAAAAATATATATAGAAGCGTAGAGTGCTCACGCTCGTGTTTACTCGGTAATTGATTACCTCTCCCGATCGTGCAGTAGCTTGGGCGAAATAAAGGGCTCTCGCCATAAAGCCGTGAAACGTCAGAACTCTGCTGCTGCGTGTATATTCGCGCGGGCGGAGATCGCGATCGCGGCGGTCGCACTCGTGATCCCTCTCCTATTTTATAATCAATAATACATAATTGTATGTATAATATATCTATGTATGTATAATTATCGCGATCAATCGGTCGATTGATACGTAATCGGACGACAGGGTGATAAGGCTCGCGTCACACGAGCCGTCTCTTTCTCTTCTTCTCTTTCTTCCTTTCTTCTTCTTCTCCGTAGCATTCGTTTCTCAATTTACCGGACACGCGCGTACACACAGAACAGACACATATACGCAGACTTTCTCGCTTTCTCACAAGTACGCGGGACGCACGCATTCATAAAAATAAATCTCTAAATACGGCACGGCGTGCGCGCGCGTGAAGTTTTTCCTCATCTTCATCCGTCAATCGCTCGGCGAGGTGCGAAGCCTTTCGCTGAAACCGAGGGCCAGTCGCTCTGATCGGCAAGGATGTGCTTTTTTACTTCCCTCAGCGAGATTGGAAAGAGGCAAATCTGTTAACGCTATATGCTCCGATTACGTCCGTCCTTACTGTACCTCCGTAACGACAAAGGTCACCAGAAATGATAAAATGACGGCGAGATGAAATAACAGCAATGTGAAGGACAAACTTTCCGCGATTCGATGGAATAACGGCTCTCCGTCGCCGAGATAGCGTCGCATGGTAAATCGAAGCGTCGCGACGGAGAGGACGAAAGACTAGTCGCTCCTTTTCTACATCCGCACGAATCGAAGCGGATCGAACATTTTCCTCGCAGCACCTTCGACGAGAGGGAGAGCAACGCCAATCCGTATGATGTGACAACGATCGTCGCATCACGCGGCCGTTTCTTCCCTTCTCTACTATATCAAGCTCTAGATCGGTCTCTAAGCGCGTTTAAACTAACAAAGCCGCCGTTTTCGCCGGCGCGCGATCGCGATTTCGCAGTGACCTTTGCCTAAAATCTCGCGGATCTCTAAATCACTAAGTTTTTTTTCGTTGCTAGCGCGCGGCGTGAGGTACGCCACGCGACCGTTAGTCTCCTGTGAGTCTTTTCCGTTGAATGGTCAGTCCGTTTGATGGGTGGGCCGAGAGGCGAGACACTCGGGGTCCGTGAGGGGCGGGAGATGCGATACCGTGTGTGTGTCCCCCTGAAGGGACGTGGGCATCTTCTCTGAACCGGGGGGTATCGGATACCAACGAGCGGGGGACGGGGCGACGCGCAAGGACGACGACGGCCACGGCCGAAGAGCGAGACCGTTACGAGCCTCTCGTACGCTGAGATCGGTAGTCCGAGGATGCGTCGATGCCGCGATACGATCTGCTATGTACACAAAGATCCGCTGTGACGCGCGACGTTTCGATCCGCACGCTCTCGCTGTCTGAAAAAGTAAGATAAAGATAGGGAGAGATAGAGAGAGGGTGACGGAACGTCGTCGCTCGTCGAAGCTCTCGTTTCGCCCTGTACGCGCGTACCATCAAAAAAATCACACGGGTATTACGAACACAGAGAGAGTATTTTAGAATTTCGCTAATCGTCTCGCGTCACCTCGAACGGTCGGGTCTCGACCGAGCCACACAGTCTGCCGAGATGCGTCAGCGGCATCGACGCAACGTCCTCTCTTCCTCGCATGGACGCGGCGCGCGCGCGCGCGCGCTTGACGTTTCTTAATACGACCCGAAAAGGCGTAACAAGCTTCTCGCTAAACCGATCCGTCAATGAAACGGAGCGACTGGACTAGTCTTGTCGACTAGCTTGCGGTATGCGCAAGCGCCATGGGCCCAGTGACCCTGGGACCTCTCGGGTACCGGCCCAATTTATAGAAGCCCTTACACGTGTTCGCGCATAAGCCCACGCGAACGTAGAAGTATTTGCGAGAAACCGCCAAGATGATATCTTCGGACAACGGGCAACACAGTTTCTAGTTTTGACAGTAAATTGTTAAAAACTAAGAGCTATCGTTAATCATGTTCCGCCGTTAATCATAAAATAACTTTCTATTTTTCTCTCTCTATTGATATTCAAATTCCTATTGCTTTCTGAGCCAAGTATAATCTATTATAAAAAAACCCGCATAATCAAAACATATACAACTGGTCATTCATCATATTTCTAGTCCTCAAATGAAGAATGCTAGCGGGACGAAATTATTTCCGTAACTTATTTCGAGACTTTGATAAATAAATCGTTCCTATTCGCATCCTACGGTTACAAGTTTCTAATAGATATAATTATATTAAAACGACCGAATGTGCGAAGATAATGTTTCGGTAGCTTCCTCGACAGACCCAACCAGGCTCGGACAACTTTCTACGATCGCGTCGCTTCTGCTTGGGATACTAATTGGGCCGGGCACCGATTCGAGTATGCAGATGGCATATTGATATTTGTCTGTACTGGCCCAGGGCCTCACTGAGCTTGTGCACTAGGATCGCACTGCAACAGTCGCACGATAGACGGGTCGCTCTTCGCACCCTCAATAAACTCGTCAAGCGATAGCTTGCCGTCCTTGTTCTTATCCATCTGTCGAAATATCTTATCAGTTCGTTTCTCCGGCGTCGACTCGTCTTCCGGCATTTTCATCACGGAGCCCACCATCTTGTAGATCGCCTAAAAACAGTGTTATAATGAAGTAAAATAGAGTTTATTATTTATTACACACGTCATGAAGCATCGGCTTCCGGGAAAGGGATAACAAAACTTGAAACAATAATAAAAGAAATCATAACATTACACGCTAATTAATTGACGTATAAAAGATAATATGTAGTACTATAATGGACCAAAAATTAAAAAATTAGTGTTATTATATTGAAAAAAAAAATCTATTGTAAAATAAATAATATTCTATACACAAACATCGCGCCATTTTTCGATTGCATATTACAGAAAAAAAGAAGTGTCAAATCAAAACTTATATACTCAAATTATGTTCATTGTTTCGTATATACGCAACAGTCTATAATCTTTTTATAAGAATTTCAACTTTTTCTTTAGTTGAATTATATAATAATCTTTGAATTATATAATAATCTCATTTTTCAAGATTTTCACGTTGAAATTAAAGATATTTTCAAATCAGGAATATTCTTTTTTTCTGCAGTGTATATAATAAATGCAAGAGTCAATTTTTCCGTAACAGAAATTAAATAAGGATTTTCTTAAATCTGGGGCAGTGCAATTTAATGAAAAACATTTTAGGTATCATAATTCAGAGAGAACATTGACATTTCTGAAATCACCTTCTTCATTGAAAGCCATAAAATATTAGTATTGCGGAAGCGGAGGCTGGAAATTCTTAAATCAACGGAGATACATTTAATAACATGGAAGCAGTGATACGGTCGACTATGCATTAAGCTCAGAGTAAATTTATTGCGCCGTGAATTGCCGAACTATATTTTGGCCCCCACGTCCCTCGTCCTCGCGAGGATCCGCGAGTCAGATTTTACAGCTTGGCACGTACCGTCACGATTTCCAGCATTTCTTGCCGCGAGATGTAACCGTTGCCATCCAGGTCGTACATGCTGAAGGCCCACTTTAACTTCTGCTCCAACTTGCCGCGGGACGTTACGCTGAGAGCGCAGAGAAATTCCCGAAAATCGATCGTGCCGTCGCCGTTCGCGTCGAACGTCCTGAATACGTGTTCCGCGAACTACGGGGAAGTCGTATGATAAATTTTTGAGGAACGTAAATAATTCCGGGGCGCGGGGCCAGAGCACGCGATATGTTAATAAATTTATCGATTACACTCGCGCGTCTCTGTACCCTTAATCCGGGATTTTTCCACTTACCTTCGACGCGTCGCCGTAAGGGAAGAAATTCCCGTATATCTTCTTGAACTCCTCCACGCTGAGGTGCCCGCTGGGGCAATCCTTTAAAAATCCTTTGTACCACTCCTGGATCTCCGCATCTTGAAAAGGAAAGAGGCAAGTAAAATATTACTTACACCCGGCTGCGCTAACGTTACTCACACGTCTCCAGACATAAATCCGCGAGCTAAATATTCATTGATATAACGTCGAGCTTAATATGCGTTGGCGAATATCTGTATATATGTATTAACCTTCCGACGCGCTTCGAGCAGAAATATACTGCTGCATCTGTGTAAACTGCATCTATTGCATCTTCATTGTAATCCTCAAGTTCATTAAAGCTTTCATTATAGAGACTCAATTTATCCCTTCATTAGAAACTTGATTATTCCATGTCGTTACGCGTACAATATATGTATGGTACATAGTATATAGCATAAATACTGAATGGCACGTCAGAAGGTTTCAGGGTATTAATTATTCGTAGAAAGCAGCGCGCACCTGTGAATTCAGTATTCTGTTTGAGGTCCTCCAGCACCTCCGGCTTCAACTTGCTGTTTTGCTTCCCCATGGCTGCTCCTCCAAGTCCCTTCCAGAGTCCCCGATTTTCCGATGAATCCCGGAACCCAATTAGCAGATAATTAAAGCTCTAACTAGTCTACTATTCTAATAGTGCCGTTAAGCACAACACGCTTCGCGGCTGGTATTCCCCACCAGACACGCCTGAAAGAAGAAGAGAGACGTTCGGTAACTTTCAGGGTGCTTTTCCCGCGATTAAGCCTGGCTTAACGGCGAAGAGCGGAAGCCGGCGGATGTTCGATAGGTCATACCCGTTTCTCCCGCTCGATTGCTTCGATCGCGAGGGGGTAGTATTACCTCGCCGGGCCGCACTCGAGATCAATCGTATATTCGCTGCAATTAACGTGCAAGACAAACGAATAAAAAACGCGTCCGGGCAAGATACTTTTCCCTCTGAACAATCGCAAATTCTATAAGCGACTGAATGTCAAAGGCTACGCAGATACTAAAACCGACGGACGACGACGAGTAAAAAAGATTTCCGCGTAAATCAGCCGCGCATGCCGTTGAGGTCCTTTGAGCTTTATTAACGTTCAACCTTTGCGATCAGCACCGTTAAATATTATAGTCACGTTAAAAAAAAAAAAACAATTAACGTTCCGCGTCGAACTTATTCGAGAGAAAGATACAATTCCGGCAACCATCGTTCATCCGATTCAATCGATTGAACGAATCACTATCGGAAGCAAATCTTTAATCGTATTAGGAGGGGTTTTACGTATCTATGTCGATTTTACGTCGGTTTTACATCGGTTTTACGTTCTATCTCGACGGAAATGCAACATGTAGAAACGAAGGGAGTGACGTTTTTGGAAATACGACAATAAGGACGGAAGGAATTAGGATAGAGTGGGTATTCTTTCTTCATGCACGCATTCGCAATCATACGCATTCACGCAACTGCAACAGAAGAAAATTTCAAGATTAGTAGAGCAGCAATAATAATAATAATACATTTGGAGCGTAGTGTGTGCTTTATTATAATAATATTAGTAATGAGACGATAATATGCGGGCTCTCGCGGTCCCTCGCCGCGCGCAACTCGCATACAAAATACGAGTTTGCCTCGATATATACATATATCGAAGTTGTATTTTATATATATATGTATATGTACATATACATATATATATATGTCGCTTAAACGGAATTAATTATACCACAATATAATAATTGTAATACGTAAGTACTAGATCTTATGGTAGATAATTAAATCCTATACTGAATTGTGTCCGTCTTTGGCGCACGTATGCGTGTACGAGCGATGGATTCGCTCGAGGGAGCGAAGGTGTATCATCGTGCAGCGATGCAATCTCGCACGGTCGCTCATTCGTTACGTACAGATAACCGACGACGGCAGGCAGCATCCCTCCGTCGTCCCGAACGACGGCGTCTCGGGAGACGGAGAGATTCCTCGGGAGCTCCGAGTCTCTCCCCCGAGGCGTTTTCGGCGAGTTGTATCCCGCGGTGAAACGCGATGCTATACGCGCGTTTCCCCGACGAGATGACGCACGGCGACACACACGTTCACGTGAACGATAATATTTGCGTACGATCTCCCGAGCGCGTGCTTTAGATCGCGGCCCGACCCGTTCGTTCTTAACACACGTGAATGACGCGTGTGAAACAACGCCGCCGTCTTCGTCGCCGATCGGAATCGGAATCGATTGATATATGCGAGGACGATCGTCGCGATTTTTTAATTATGTCCATCCCGGGGGATCGCTGTTGCTTCGTCAGCGGCTGCGTCAGCAGCGCGGATCCGTCTCGTGAGACTCGAGAAATCGGCCGGGTGACAGAAGTCGACGGTAAATTATACGATCTTTCAGGACAGCGACGACCCTCGCGAAATTTCTCCGCGATTCGTGTCGACCTGCCGACGGAGAAGTCGTTACATTTTCAGAGACAAGACCCCGTCGCGCTTTTTATCGCGAAACTTTTTCACGGGAGACTGCTTGCCACGCGGCTCCGACGTGAAAGCTGGTGACAAGCATCTGCGAGCTTCGCCGATGCGAGTTCGGCAGATGAAATTTTGTTTGACGCAGCCACCCATCGAACACGCTAACAGCTAAAAGCCCGTTTTCCTGTCACCATTGTGCTCGCGACGAGAATGCATCAGAGAGAATTGACGCTTTAGCGTTTCCCGTCGATTCCGTGTCGCGTGTCACGCGAACTTATTAAAATACAAAATTACAGTTACAAGGAGTTAACACATTCGTCTGATCGTCTGACCGATCTGCCAGATTTATAAAATAAACTACGGCGTACAGTTTTCCTGTCCTCTTTTCTTTGAACTATAATAATTATATCGCAGTATCGGTTTTATCGCATCGAAATAATTACACTGATTTAACGGCGATACATACATTTATTAACCCTTTCGGAGTCGACCTTCGTCCGGAAATGATGTTTTACATTTTGAATAAAAAAAGAGGATTAGTCGCAAAAGAAATATTTAACAAAAAGGAATAATTTCGGAAAACTAATCCTATAATTTATGATAATTATATACATAAAAAAAAAAATAATTTCAGAAAGATTATGAGTTTATGTTACAAATACACTACTGTGAACTGCAATGAGAATCACGCATGCAATATCGCGAGCGAATACAAGGCCAAAAGGGTCAACGTACAGAGAAGTCATGTTGCGTACTAAGTGATTATCGACGTCGTTGTAATCGTCTAGAAAAAGAGGCGTATGAATGCGATTTAAGCAAATCGAATAAAGTGATCTTGAAAGTCGCGCAGTCGTTGATTGCTAAGTCCCGCGGAATTTGCGCGAATACACTCGATACACCCAAGTACATAACACGCTAATTATAACTATACGAAACATTACGTCGCACACGCTACGGAAATCTCGCAATCAGTGGATGCACTAATTACGCGTTCGCTTTATAATCACAAACCAGCTGGTTTTAACTTAGCCGCTCAAAACGATCCGCGTATCGTGTCGCTTTGTTATAAAAAGAGAAAAGAGCCTCAGAGCTCGGCATAATTCGAATCGGCGAACGTAATAGCGTAATGGTAGGTCAGAATCGGATAAAAGTTTTAACAAGGTAGATAATGACAAAAGTATCGCAGTTCTCTTTTTCTTCATCCACGACCAGTGCGCCACATCTGGCGGAGATTTTAATTTTAGATATAATTCACAGCTAAGATATTAATTGTATGATCATTATCAGAATGTAATTCTTTTAGGTATACGAGGTTTGTTCGAAAAGTTTCTTGATACATGGATGCCGTGATTTTCCATGTAATTTTGAACTTAGCGGACAGTTTCGTCCTTTATAAGATTGACATAAAAATTTCAAGTCGATCCGTCAAGTTGTTGTGTTTGATATTTCTAGAAAATGGAAACAACTGAAATTCGAGCAGTAATCAAATTCTCACGAACTAGGTTTTGAATCGCTGCCTTATTCACGAGACCAGATTTGGTCTCGTGCGACTTCCATCTATTTCTAAATATGACTCGGAGGTAAACGTTTTACATCAAAGAGGTGATCCAGATTATGGTGATCCAGAGATGACTATTTTAAGGAGCTGAACAAATTAAGCTAAAATAAGTTAGCATAACCACATTAGAAAAACGTTGGACAAAATGCATTGAGTGCAAAGGGGATTATATTGTAAAATAAGTACATTCTGAATTCAAAAATATGATGTTTCCATTACATTAAAAACTTCTCGGACAACCCTATTTCTCTTCTGCAACTTAAATTCTTTAAATTGTCAAGAGCCTCTACATGCCACAAATATCGCTATTCTGGTCTTCCAGATCCAATCATCGCGCAACCCGAAAGTATTCGAAAGTATTCGGAAGGAAATTGTAAAATGCGCAGCAAAATAATTAACTTATATTATTACCGTTGAATATTTAATAAACTAAAATTCTCTCGTTTACCATTTAACGTAACTTTTAACGGAATTTATATGGTAGATTGAAAATGCAAAACTGCCAGGAATATTTACGAATTTTCCACGGTATCGTAGTACGTTTTGCAGCGGTTTTAATCGAGCAATATTAATGCTACTGCATTGTAATGCCTGTGTTTGAAACATACATTTTATCGATTTTTCCTGTTGCACCTTGCATTACGTTCCACTTTCGGTTTACCGCTAGTGACAGAAGGAAACTGCGCAGGATGCAATCGCGATAACGTGTATTTAACTCTGAAGCTATAATAGATTCATTATCACGAACTACCTCGCGACTTTCTGCGCAGAGAATTAAATAAAAATGTGTTCAACGCTATTCAACGAAACGCATATCACGAAAGAAACACGATCCATGTTACTTATGCATACCGTGACATTTTCTTCCCTCCCGTTGTACATTAAGTAATAAAGTAAATGCGCACCTGTTCTCTTATCTCGGCGATGAACGCCACGAGTCATAAGCTCGTTATGGCCTTCGAGCCAAATTGATACCCCCTTGAAAGATTTATGTCTCTGTTGTCTCGTATTCGGATCGGTAACGACCTTCTTCGGAAAAACGATTTTCCTTGAAATGTTGGAACGAACGTATGCAAAGTGCCGCGCCCGCGATTATCTCGCAAGGACGTTTGTAATACGCCTGAGAGTTTGGTTTTTAGATAAGCGGACTTGTCGGGTTAATTAGGAAGTAGCGTGCCCGCAAAATTCTGGACGCGTTTACCGCATTGTTTATATGTTTATCGGCATCTTGATGTAATCATCTCTAAGTGCACCAACGTTCCTGAATAACAGAGATAAAGCAAGGTAACGAATTTTTAATCTTCGGATTTCGCGAGTTCAAGCTCGACTCAAGAGAGGTGATTTTATACGCGACTGCTGCATCTTTGTACTTTTCCAAACCGATCGAACGTGTGTTGAAAGAGTCGTGATTGACAATTGGCATCAAACGATTATATTGTTAATTAATTCTACACATGGGTGGCCAAAGATAAGAGCACCAATGCGTCGGAAGTAGCACGTCATGGCAGGGTGATTGTGCAGCTATTGCGTAATCCAGATCGTAGTCGCAAATATAG